GTGTGTGTGTGTGTGTGTGTGTGTGTGTGTGTGTGTGTGTGTGTGTGAGAGAGAGAGAGAGAGAGAGAGAGAGAGAGAGAGAGAGAGAGTTGCATGCTGCGCCTACAAGAAGGGCCATTTTCAGGCCCCGTGTCGTTTCAGACTAAAAGCCTGAAAACAAGGGCCTACAGGCCCTGTGTTGTTTCAGCCTGAAAGCCTGAAAACAAGGGCCTACAGGCCCTGTGTTGTTTCAGCCTAAAACAGGGCCCTCCAGGCCCTGAGTCTTTTCAGCCATAAACGGAGGGCCATTTTCAGGCCCTCATAAGGTCGACCTACCGTGAAGCTTAGGCACCAGACCAGGATTTTAGCACAGGCCATTTTGGGCCTGTTTTCAAGACAACCTTTGTTTGAGCTTCAACGCCGTGGTCTGGCACGTTTTGGCATTGGCAAGAGCAGCCTCCTGGACGGGCCAGCACTGTATAAGACTGGACCGCGCTGCAGGCTGCAGGTACATTCGATGAGGGATTATCTGGGACTTGTACCGAAGACTTGGTGTTAACGACATTCCCATCTTCCCCTTCTTCTTCGTCTGATCTCCTCCTCTTCGTCTGTGTATGGTCCGGTCCTGGTGCAGTCTTCCTGTGTGTAGCGCCAGGCCCCCTCACACCTTGTGATGAGGATGATGTATGTTTGGTCTGCATTGCAAGCTTTCAGGCCAATGCGCGGCCTCCAAAAAAAAATTGGCTGCCCGTTTCTTATTTTACGCGAGCAGGGGGCTGGGTCTACTACCGCCCCTCACAACTTTTTTTTTCTTTTTTTGACCCCCATTTTTGGAGGTGCGCCGCATGCAGTGCGCGCGCGTCGTGCGGGATGCGCGGTGCGGCGCACGTGCGCAGTGCAGTGCATCGTGATGCGCCGCAAGTATGATATATTGTCTAGAATTGCTATGCGATCAACTTTTGGCTGGGGGTCACTTCAGAATTGATTAAAAATTTGGAAATATAAAAAGATAACAAATCTGCAAGGAGGGATCGCTCTTACTGCCCCACGCTTGCAGCCCACAACTGGCCTTCCAAAAACAAAAAAAGTCATACCAGTTGGAAGTCAGAACCCCTTTCAACCCCTTTGAAAGCCATGCATACCCCCGTTCCCCCCCCCCCCCCCTTAAAACCCATGTAAACTCCCTCTACAAGGCACTCTGCCCATGGCACATTCAAATATAATGCCCGGGCGTTATATTCGAAGGGGCATTCTATTCAATCCGACCTTTTTAGGGGAGTGTGAATATAATGCCCGGACGTTATTTTCTGGTGAAGACAGTTGGGATTCTAGACCGAAAGTTGCCCCAAATGCAGGTGTAATTGGTAATTACTGTACATCCTACATTTTATTCGGGTGAATACGGTACTTCGAATATCCCACCAGGATGAGCTCAACAGATGATCACATTCGTTCTTTCTTTGTTGCTTGTCTGTCTGTGTGCATACAGCTGCACTGGACATTTTACTTCAGTTCCCATTGCTGCGAACGTGGCCTTTTACGACTTCACTGCGGTCAATTGCAAAGCTTGTAACATCAGCAGCGTGGACCATTGCCTTTTCCATATTATTTTCGTAAGGGTCTCCTATCCGACCGTTTGTTGCCCCTCCTTGTTTGACTCCCTGGTTGACAGCTTGGTTGGGTGGTATCTTCTCCCTGGTTTGTCGAAGTCACTGTTCCCCGAAGTGACTGTTCCCCTTTTCTTGCTCTCTTTGTGCCGCAGTGCATGAATGCAAGGATTTTAAAATGTTTATCCAGGAGACCGCAACCGAACATGGTTATGGGGTTGTTTTTGGATACTGTTTTGCATATCTGTTCAACAATATAGGTGTTTCCGGGGCAAGGACGCAGAGTGAGGATAATTTTTTGAACAACAAGCTGAGTCTGCTGAATAATTCGGGCAGATGTGGTTGTCAACATGGTTGCCTGGTCGTGGCTTTTTTTTTTTGGTCCCCGTTTCTTCAGTTTGTTGTTATGAAGGGTCGTTTTGTGGAGAGCAAGTTCTATCTGCAGAAAGGTTTTGGGTGACATGGGTATGGCAAGCGGAATGGCCCTAGCTTTTTCTTTTTTTTTTGTGTGTCATCCTTCCGCACCAGTCACACGAATCTTCTCTGTATTGTTCGATTTTGACCGGATGTCCTTGGCTTTTTCTTTTTATTTCAGTTCAATCACTTGTTTTTGCGCCCGCCTGTTATTGCAGAGTGCGACAGCCTTGATGCGATGCCAGAAATTGCAAAACGATGAACATGGAATCATCTAAAACATGCCACCTACTTCCCTATGGGGCCTGTCCCTACATGACCTACCTACCATAGCCGCTACAGTAGTGCTCCTCTCTGTGTCTATCTCGGTGTGCTACGTGAACTGGTGCTGCATGCATCTTGCATTGATGCTTCACCCTTTGCCCTTGGAACTTTGTGGTTTGGTGCTACGTGGTAGGTGTTCGGAGCTATGTGCTACATGCTACATGGTTCGTGCTCCATGAATTGGTGCACTGTGCTTTGGTGCTATGTGCTTTGTGCAATGCGCTTCGTGAATCGTGAATGGGTGCTATGTGAATTGTTGCTACGTGAATTGGTGCAACCGGAATTGATCCTACATGCTTTGGTGCTACGTGCTACGTGCAATATGCTACGTCCTTTGTGAACCGTGAATTGGTACGATGTGAATTGGTGGTACGTGCTTTGGTGCAATGTGCTACGGGCAATGTGCTACATGCTTTGTGAACCGTGAAGTGGCGCTTCGTGAATTGGTGCAACGTGCTTGGAGCTGTGTGCTACGCGCTCTCTGTCCTCTCTCTCTCTCTCCTCTCTCTACTACGTGCTATGCGTACTTGGTGCTCAGTGCTTCGTGCCACATGAACCTCGGTGCGGATTCCTTCTTCGTGACCTTGAGGCTTTGTACTTTCGTCAACTTGGACAGTCTGTCCGAAGGCTTACACGTTGTTAGTTGGAGGCTTCATCAACATGGCTGACTCGAGTGAGTCTTTTTCTCTTTCTTGCTCACCTCCAACCCATGCCCCCAACACTCAATACCTTCCCACTTATCACCACGCTCTCCCACCCACTCGCTGCTGCACTACCAATGCTGCCACTTATTCGCTGCACAAAGGCCAGTGAACATTTTGCCTTTTCTCCTCTCCCCCTGTTGACCTTCAAGCTGCTTGTGTGTGTGTGTGTGTGTGTGTGTGTGTGTGTGTGTGTGTGTGTGTGTGTGTGTGTGTGTGTGTGTGAGAGAGAGAGAGAGAGAGAGAGAGAGAGA